TCGAGGGCCCAGAGCCCAGAGCCAACACCCATTAGAATTCCGCCCACAGCTAATTTTCATGGATTTCGTTTAGCGAACGCCCTCTAATTGCCACGCCCATCTCGGCTTTGCCTGCCGATGATAATCAACAATTGACGCTGCGGTTGATAAATGCCATTTGATTAATTTGTGGAACAACAGCTGGCTGGACATCGCCATCGCCAACGCCAACGCCATCGCCATCATCATCAAAGGAATTGATTGCGTTACCCGCATATTTTGTGTCATCTGTGCCGTCGCCTGCTCCAGTGGCAAATGCAATAAACAATCATTTTTAATTGAGCAGCGACATCGAAAACATCAAACAGGGCTCCATCATATGGCCACATCCACTGTTAACAGCGCCAAATACACACAAATTATAACAATACATCTCGAGGCTGATGACGCAGCTCCGCTGCTCTGCGTCTGCGTCTGCAGTCTATTCGGACTGCATGATATTGATATGGATGACGCTTATCAGCAAACATTCTGAATGACAAACACATTACATAACTTGGCTAACTGATCGAATTGTCAACAATTTCTACTCTATTCATAATTTTATAGAGGATTCGTTCAGGTTCTTCCTAGAGTATTTAAAATAATATACAATATTATTATATATTATGATTGTTACAATATTATATATTGATTGATATATGATGATTGGCAAATAGTTGAATTTAATTTGTTTCATTTATATTGTAATAATTTATATATTATATTAATTATGCAGTTAACCAGGCAGCTAATAGGTCGCCCAACATTCTAGTTATTGAAATAGTCTTAGTTAGCTATTGAATCAGTCAATCAAATAGTCTATCAATCCGTTATTTTAGAACCAGTAAATCTGTGCTGTCTAAATAATTCCAGCTTCTGTTGAGTCTTTTCTAATCAATCAGTCAATCAATCAATATACCACAAGTTTGGGTTTAAAAATTCCACAAAAATCTTTAATGTTCCATAAATAAATCATTCATTAAAATAATTGATTAATATGCTCTGTCCATATTCAGAGTCATAATATAAATCTATCTTACATCATTTAATAACATTTACTTCATTATTTAGTCAACCAATTAATCAGTCTATCAGTCTGAAAGTTCTAGACGAGCCCATTCTGTGCTTTAGCTGTCAAACGCCTCGACAATTGTTTAACTCTAATTTCAGACTCAGATACTTAAATTTCATAAAGTCTTTAGTTTTATGCATTTTTTATGAGCCATCATTCCTCTACAAATTCTTTTTCGCTCTTTAGATTTCTAATGAATTTTCGACCCCTTTGCATTAGAGAAAAAAAATACACACACGCACACACACATACAGACACACACATATGTATGTGTTTATTGTATATGTAAATAAACTCGATAAATGGTTCTGCGATCAGGTTTCAATTTGTTCCGAGTCTCCCCATTATTGTTGTTGTTGTTGTTGTTGTTGTGGCTGCCTTTTTATTGAATTTTTATGCAATTTTGTTAACTGGATCAATTATTTCAATTGCGTGTTCAGTAAACACAGACGGCGTCCATGACGCAGACGCCCCATCAATAGAGGACAGTGGTCAAGCCCCCTTTGTGCCACCACGCCATGCCACTGCTGCCACACCCAATTTGACAGGCCGCACCGAGCCAAACAAACCCAATCCCTAAGTGCTCCAACGTCGCTCGAACGTCATCGCCCGAGTGTTATATTTTATTTATTTGTAGTTTTTATTTTGTATATTCCTCATATTTAGCTGGCATTGTTTTGGCACGCTCTATAAATTGCGCGCCTTCGCTGCAGAAATCTACGGAAACAGCTGCTAAACCATTTGCTGAAGCTACCCTAGATACCCTGGATATATATAGATACATTTACATATATACTATATAGCTATACACATGCACAGGGACATATAGACTGGCTGTATGTTGCATGCAACAGAGCCCAGGTGGACCCCACCCTTAGTACTCGCAATTGCTATACCCTGCAAGCTTTGAGAGTGTGCAAAGTGGGCATATGTGCTTAACAGATCAAGGATGGCATGGCTGATCTAGACAGTATGAGTCAGTGTGTAGTCTATCTCTGTCTGCCTGCCTTGCATCTACACACATTTCTAAAGGCGTTCAGCTAGAAAAATAGAATATCTAGAGATCATACCTAAAAGGCCATCACTCTATAAACCTTGAAAAGCTACAGAGGCCTTCAAATAGCATTCTTAAACATATTCTTGATCATTAACTGAGTATCTATAGACGGTTCTTCTGGCTGTCCATCCGTCTAGCCGTGCATCCATTTGGCTATTTATACCTCTATCCTTATCTGGACATCTATCTGAAAACGTTAACAAATGCATATCCCAAGGGTTTCAAGAGAGTTTTACAACTACAAAGCAGTACTGGTAAAAATATAAATAGAAAATAAATCAAAATAATTAAGCACTTCTGTTCCAGTACTCTATAAAACTAATAATTAAAATTGATATAAAATTCACTTTCGTGAATGAGTAAAAAAAAAATACCAATGCAAAATTCGTCCAAGTTTTCGAGAAGGAAGAAAATGAAATAGGGAAAATTATATAAATTAATAACAATGCATCAAAGTTATTTTTAGAACTCTTTAGATAGCTCTTTTTATAGTTAGAGAAATCAATCAAAGTTAAGCTAGCCATAGGGTATATGCTAGTCCTGCACTCGCCACATATATGCTTCCCCCTGCTACCTGGCAGACAACGTGCCAGCCACATACCTTTAGGGCGGACAGCAACAAGAACAACAACAACTACGGCGAATGGTAAATGTTTTTCTGCTTTATTTACTGCAAAATCGAGTTCACTTTTGGGTAGTTCTGGGTTGGGGTTTGTGTTGCGTCTGCTATGGGGTGTTTTTTTTTTTTTTTTTCAAGTTTGTGCTTCAGCTCGAGCTGTCTGTTGGCCGTTCTTTGATTTCCTCTTTTCGCTTTCAATTGGGGCCAAGGTCCGCAATGCTTCACTTGTTCAATTAACAAGCAGCGAAATACCATTGATTAATATTGAAAAGGTCAGGATTTGCTTTTGGCAGTCGATAGGTTTCACTGCACAGCGGGCTTAGTATTAGCAAGGTATTCAGATTGTGCATTAGAAATTGTAGAGTATTATCCATATTATCGCCATTTGACTCTCAATCGAAATGTGAAAAAGTAAAGTGAGTTCGATTGCCTCTTCCAGACTCTCCCAATTGGCTTCACACACAATTGTTCCTTAACTGCAATCAGTTATATTTATTGATTCGCTGCATGGGCCAGCAACAGTTATTGAAAATCGAACGAATCGACTGAAGAATCAAGAAAACAAAATGCCCATAAAAGCGGGTCAACAATTGCAGCACTTGTCGCACTTTTAATTCACGACAATCAGGCGGCAACTTCCATTTTCCATTTTGCGATTATGAGCCAATGCGCCAAATGAAACAGAAAACAGTTCTCCTCAAAAGTGTACTGATGGAATAATTGATACTCTGTTCACGTTGTCTTAGATATACTTTTGAAAAGTTGGTACAAGTAAATCTCTAGCTAAGAGTACTAGAGCCAATTATATCTGCATTTCGCTTTAAATAATTGAGAATCAGCTTTTCTATTATGGATGTAGCATATGATATCCTAAAGAATAATTTTCATTAATAATATAGCTTAGATATCATTATCATATATACACGACAGGCATAGATCTACAATTATTATTATATATTTTATATACCAAAGACTTAAATACTGCACAGTATCAAAATCGCATTCATTGTCCAACAAACCAATATACCCTTTCAAAAAAAAAAACAGTGCTTAACAAACCTAGGCTCACATTAATTATAACCAGTTGGATCCGGATATTACTGCATGCAAATTTATAGGTTTTTAATGTGCAGATAATTCTGAGTTTGAGATACTTTCCAGAGATTCTATGGAATATGAAAGCTGTCGTCGTGCTTGAAATTGACTCCCATGTGGCTACACTTCGTTCTATGTAATTCTATCTAAGCTTTGACATTCTGCAGCTGGAAATAAAGTTCGAGTTTCGCTAGGAAGTAATTTGATATGTTCTACGACAAGTGAAATATTTATTTGATTGCTAGAATATTTTAGATTTGCTGTCTTAAATTCAATGCAATTTCATAGCTACAATATACCCTGTAACTTATAGGGTATATTGTTAAAGGTATTTTTTTATAAATTCAATGTAATTTCAGTATAAAATACTTGTTCTATATCTTAGCTACAAATTACAGGGTATTAATTTGTAGGGTATATTGATATAAGTATCTTTATATATTCACATATTTCTTTACATAAATTCTTTACCTTTTCTTATTACTTTATTTCTCATTATTAAATTCTAGATCTATCTACAAAATACAGGGTATACGGTATATTTCCGCTGTTTCCGTTGTTGCTTTCGTAGAGTTTTATGACATACATTATTTTTCCATTGTTGTACGTAGCTGATAAAGCGTCTGATCTTAGAGTAGGAAAAGAACAAGAAGAAGGTGAAGTACATTGTATGAGACACGCGATATACCCTTGAATAATTCATCAAATGCCATGGACAATGCAAACAAATGAAAGCAATGTAAATGCAAACATATTTCGAACAAAAAACAACTTTAGATATACATACAGATATATAATATATATGTACATATATAGGGGCAAATTGTTATAGTTGTAAAAAGCTGTGCACAATGTGCGATAAGCCATGTCGATGACGACGAGGGCGCTCAGCTCCAAAAGGCCAATAGCCGCTGTTATTTACACTTGCTAAGGGCGGAACTGGGGCGAGCGGAGCTAGGAGACTTTCCCTTTCCCTTTCCCATTTGCTTGATCTTTTTTTGTTCTTCTTCTTTGTTTTGTTGTAAACACGTGAAGTGAAGACACGATCATATGACTTTATTTATGCGTGCGTATCCGTGAGTTATCTATATACGTATTTATTTACACGAATGCGAAATATTTGCTCTTCTTGCCAGGCAATGCAGCGCAAGCTACGCGACGCGGAAAAGCAAACTGCAACAGCTGCTGCAGAGCAACAGCAACAACAACAACAACAACTGCAGCAATTGCAATTACAACTACAACAGCAGCGCCAGCATATGGAGCAGAATGTGCTCGAGTTAACTCCGCCGGCCACGCCCCCAACACCAATGCCGCCCAATTCGCCCACCAGCAGCGTTGCAAGCAGCGTGGACTTGAAGCTGGTGAGCCTTATAAAAAAAAAAAACAACAACAACAGCAATTTTATCTCACTTTTTCTCTCTTTATCTCCCTCTCTTTCCCTCTCTCTCTCTCTCTCTCTCTCTCTCTCTCTCTCACATACAGCGCACGCGTCGCGAACTCGAGCGCAATCGCGAGTTCGTCTGCTCTCTGCTGGTCGCCTATGAGCGCAGCGAGAAGCTCTGGAATCCCAAGCATCCCGACTACAAATACAATGCCAAGCGCAGCGTCTACAATGAATTGGCCGCGCCCCTACAAGCCGTCTTTCAGATACCGCTAACCGGCGCCGAGGTCTTCGCCGTGCTGAAGGAGCTGCGCGGTCGCTACCGGCGCGAGCTGAGCAAACTGAACTCGTTGGGCGACAAGTACAAGTCGCGTCTGTGGTACTTCGAGAAGATGCACTTCTTGCGAGGCGTTATTGAAGCTAAGAGAGCCGAGCGAGAAGCAAAGGTAAGGGTTAGGGATAAAAAAAGGGTTGATGGGTAAATGGGGAAGATTGCTTTCACACGAAACAAAGAGAGAGAGAGAGAGGGAGAGGGAAAGGGAGAGAGAGAGGTAATGATATCAGTGAAGTGGAAGATTAGTTTCACACGAAGGATAGAGAGGCGAGAGGCGAAGGTCAGGCTTAAGAAGCTATCAAGGGAGATGAAATGAGACTGAGTTCTGAAACTGCCAAAGGTAAGGTTTGGTAAGGTAAGGTCTCCCTTGAGGGAGAGAGAGAGAGAGAGGGAGAGAGAGAGAGAGAGAGGCTAAAGCTCTACTCATAGCCTTAGCAATAGGGTAGTTAAGCTATGGCGTGAGCTAAAGGAAACTGACAAGCTAATCATGAGAAAAATGTAAATTGTGTTCACCACCCGGAAGATTGGGTTTCAAGTTTTGCCTGACTTTCTATCTCATTTTCATAGAAATTGAGACGAGAGAGAAGAAGCAGGAATAAATCCCAAGTCGTATACATAATAATAGGGTAGGCTGGGTTCTCTACCCGGTAGAGCTGACAAGCGAGCATGGGTATCCAGTTCTATTATGAAAGTAGTTCCCAGAATCGAACGTGCTTCCCTTCTCATTTTCAGCTACACAGCTATGGGAGAAGGGGAAAGGAAGCTATTAACCTGTGTAAAACATAGATCTGAACCCATTGAATTTTCAATTTACAGATATCAGTTATGCTTATTCTGGTTTATTTAGTATATTTATTTATAATATATTGTAATAATACCGTGTCCAATGCTTCCCTATTCAACCATATTTACGCACAGTCTTTAATTTCACATTAATTCCCAGAACGAATCAGCTGAGAGTGAAAAGTCCAGTGAAACGGACAGCGAATCGACCACAAAGTCAGCGCAATACCGAGAGGTGCTGAGCTGTTTGATCGATGGCTTCAGGCGCCAGGAGTGTCTATGGAATCCGCAGCACTTTGACTATAACAACTGCTGCAAGAAGGAGCTATACCGGCAGATCTCAGCGGAGGTCTTGGAGGAGCTCAACTACGAGATGAGCGGCGAGGACTGCTACAAGGAGTTGCAGAAGCTGCGCACGCGCTATCGCAAGGAGCTGCGCATGGTGATCAAGCATAAGGGTCTCTATCTGCCCAAGCTGTGGTGCTACGATGAGCTGGAGTTTCTACAGAAGATTCTTCAGGAGCAGATCTTCAATAAGATCAGCAAGGTGAGTAGTAGGAGTAGATTAAATAGAATACCATTGTCTAATACTTACGTTGATTCTTTTGCAGAAAAAGGGAGTTGTCGAATCGTATCGTCGAACCAAGTTCATTGATGCCAGCAGCATTAGCTTCGAGCTGCAGGAGGATCAGCTGCAGTTTGTGGAAATCTATCGCAACTATCCAGCCCTTTGGGATGTCGATCATCCCGATTTCCGCTCAAATGCCTATCGCACCCACGCCCTGGGCCAGATGCTGGAGGAGCTCAATACGACATTTCAAAGGACCTACACCACAGCCGAGCTGGAGAAGACTTTGTTTGAGTTGCGCAAGGACTTCTCGGCGCAGAAACGCAAGATCCTAACAAATGCCTCGGACTGCAGCAGCATTTCCTTGCTGCATGCGAAACTTGGCCAGTTTCTCGAACCGAATCTGGGTCCCTTTCGCTGTGACGTGTGCAGCGAGCTGGTGAAGACCTGCGATCAGTATAAAGTACATCGGGCGGCGCATGACGGCACACAGCCCTTCATTTGCACGCTCTGCGGCAAGGGCTTCCAAATGCCCTGCAATCTGACGGTGCACATTCGGCGCCATAGACGGGACTTCCCCTACGCCTGCGAGCAGTGCGATAAGCGCTTCGCCACATCCACTGAGGTGGCCATCCACATGCGCACGCACACGGGCGAACGGCCCTACATCTGTGACCTGTGCGGCAAGTCGTTTAAGACGTGGTCGTTCTTCGATATACACCGGCGCACGCATCTGAATCAGTCGTCGTTCCATTGTCCCATCTGTGACAAGGGCTTCTATGAGAAGAATCGCTTCACCGATCACATGAATGCCCATCTGAATATACGCAAGCATTTGTGCACCGTCTGCGGCAAGACCTTCACCACATACGGCAACCTCAAGAAGCACACCGAACTCCATCTGGCCGTGAAGAAGTACAAGTGTGGAGCTTGTGGCAAGCGCTTTGCACAGTTCGCCAGTTTGCGTTGGCACAGAAAACGTGAGCACACTTCAGAGCAGCAGCAGCAGCAGCAGGAGGAGGAGCAGCAGCTGGAGCAGGAGGTGGCGGTGGAGGTCGAGGAGCAGTCACAACAATACTCTCCAACAGCCAACGTCTAATCAATTTGCCAGCTATTTACAAAGCCATTACAGGCAGTCGATTCTATTTGGCATGTACTCAGAGATACTCACTACTCAGTAGAGAACGCGTGTACTTAACATATCCTCTAAATACCACCAAGTGATCTGCCTAGCTTATAAGCTAAGGATTAAAGTCTAGCTTAAATGGTATAAATATCATATTTACTAGTTGTTAGTCTTTGGTATATCTTTTAAGCAAACGATCTCAACTTAGTTTTAATTATATTTAAGCTAGCTATGTTAGCAAATTTCTTATATCATTTAAGTACCTATATATATATGTATGTATATTATTTATTTACTTCCAGCTGTTTTCATATTGATGTATTAGTAAGTGTTAAACGAGCATACTTAATTAGTTTATAGCGTTCCCAACAAACTGCATATATGCTGAAATTTTAAACATATTCAACGCCATAGCTATAGCATAGGTGGATTATAGATCTAAGTTTAGAAATTAACTTTCAACAGGCTTCAAAATCATATATCAATTTATGTAAAATAATATAAACAAAAGTTTTAAAATAATTATTTATATATACACAAATATATTTGAATAAAAATATATATATTAAATTATTAATATATAAATAATTAATATATAAATATTGCAATTATATAAGAATTTGTTTATTTTGCCAGCAGCAATATTTATTGATAAACCATATAATGACAAGGAACAGCGACAAGGCAGCGATATACGGGTATACAAGCATTTATATATCAAAGACCCATTTCCGATGTTCATTTCAGCTGAATAATGCGCCAACCTAATTGAAATGATCTTATTGTAGCAATGGAATGTAATGAATGGAAAATTAATTGCATCATTGATTCGTCTGCCAATAAACAGCGCAATGCAATGAGCAATGAACAACAACAAAATGGGGAGTGGAATTAATTGTAGCACTTATCGCTCGACCCAATAATGATTTGTCATTTATTGCCCGATATGTAATTTATTTAAGTTTTAGCATTCTTTGGCCGTATCTGCATTTGGACAGACTTTAAAGACTTGAAGCTGTACCATTGATCCCAAAAGATTCCCTGTTCGCTGTCCGTTTGGGTTTTAAAGTATTTTCCATTGAGATTGCTAGAATTAAATACAAAATTTATAATAAGTATTATTTATGCCATGGAATATAGACTATATAGTATATATAGCAATATTGCTGCTGTCAAGTTTTAATTATTTGTTTGCTTCAAATATATTACTTCTCACTCGAATTTTTTATAGAGAATATACGAGTTTTTTTAATGCAAGTCATGCTTATACGATAATTATAACTGTTCATTATGGTATTTACTAAAAGTAATAATTTTTCTTAGTGTGCTATGCAGTATATCTTTAAAGTGCATTTATAAAGCAGCACATTATTCATTTATTATAATTATAACTATTTATTTAATATTAAAATATTGTAATAAATAAAATACTTTTATTAGTAGTTTTATAGTAAACTATTAATTGTTGTATAATAGCATGTTAGTAAATTTATAGTATATATCTATAACTGGTTTTTAGATGTAATTTTAATGATAAGTGTGGTATTTATGTTAAATATATTTACATGCTAATGTGTTATTCAGTGTATAGACATATGGTATTTATAATTAGTATTCTGGATAGCATATTAAATATTTTTCTTGTTTTTATAGCACCTATTGCACACCCACCTGCGCGAACAGAAGTCATACCACCACGCCCCATGATGATACTCAGCACAATTGATGTGAGTGAATTCATCGTGATCCCTATCGTAGGTTGAGAATTTCATTTTGTCGTGCGTGCGCATTGCATCGCTGGCATTGCCATGGAAATGGCCCAGTAATTTTAATTCGTAACCCTCAGTCTCACTGCCAATCACAAAGTCGTCGTAGAAAGCGACGCGATGGCTGCCATTGAAGAGGCGCAACGATACGAAAAGCTCATGGGGCTGAAATGCCGTTAGCCTGTACAGTTTTTCCAGCCCAATGAAAAACTCTCCATTCAGCTTGCCAAAGCCGTTGCGATACTCATTCCAATTGCGATAGAAATTCACAGATCCATCCAAGCGGCGCTGAATCACCGTCCAGCCGTTGCCCTCGCAGGCCACCAAAAACGGTCGAAAATCGGGCAATTCCATTAAATGAATTCCAGACATTTTGTTATGGGGTAAACAACTATTTGTTGCCGCCTCCCAGTCGGCCAATAGATCATCTTTCCTCTCCCTTAGCTTGTATGCCAAGACTTTGACACGAGCTTTCAGCTCGTTTATCGTTGCTGCATTCGTTGCATTTTGTTTTCTATGCACAGCCAAAAGATTTTGCTTTCGCTTTAATCTCGTTTCGTAAACACTTGTTTTCAATTGCAAAGCCTTGATTTGTTCATCTCTTTCGCTCAGCGTGTGTGTGAGTGTCGTATTTTGCATCTGACACGCTTCCAGTTGTTCCTGATATTTCTTTAGTTGATCCTCATCAGATTTGTTCCCTGACTGCAGTTTGATTATCTCGTTCTCTTTCTCTTGAATCGTAGCCGCATTTTCAGCTAGTTTGTCCATATAAACATCCAACAGATCATTGAGATCATCTTTACTAATGCTAATTGTCTTATGTGCATCTATTTGAAATTCGGCCAACTTGGGCTTGGGCGTAACGGTTTGATTCACTAGTGGAACTGCGATTTGGGTAGTATTATGACACATTTCCGATTTGTTTTTAATATCTCGTATGCAATCCTTAACAGGCGGCTCCTTCTTTTTTAAAACAGAGACCGTAGCACTGAAGGAGCATGGAATGACTGAGATGATAATAAGGATGATCCACAAATCTCCCTTTTTCATTTTACTAGTTTATCTAAATAATAACTTTTAACATGCGCGAAGCTTCAAGCAATACTGAAATGAAACAAATTACTAGTAATTTATAGCAACTACTATAGTTCAGGAAGTTGAGCGCAGCTCAGCTTTGTTCTGATAAGAAGTTTTTGCATTGCACTTGAAATGTCTGCGGCAGATCTAGCTAGTTTATGGACAAGGTTTAAAGTCATCCAAACCCGGAATACTGTTCCTTAAAGTTCATTAACTAAAATCATAGGACCAACAAAACATTTCGAACAGAATCAAATGTTTGATTGTCATTGCTTCATTTTAATTAATCTGAATTGAAGGTGAATTTTTATTTTCTTAATATATATCAATGTGATAATTTATTAAATTTTCATTATATTTTCCATTTCGCCTTATTGAAAGTTTGTTTTATATTTGCCGAATTTCGATTGAGAAAACAAACTTTTTTCCCCAATTCAAATAAACCGCGCTTCCAAACGAGTTGGCAGCTCTATAAAACATACTTCAGCTTGATTATATTGTCGTCCTCTTTCCACGCACCGACTACCATTCAAGTGTACAGAATTTTTCTGAACGAAAGTGGCTTGTGATTTGCTCCTGCATAAAATTATGAAAAAATAGTTTTAAAAGGCTGTTAATAATATAAACAATATCAAATAAGCAATTTTAATGCTTTATTTAATATAAATACTTGATTATTGACATTGAATTAATCAGTAAAATTAAAATACCGAAGACTAAAACGCCACATTTCCACAGAGCAAAACCAGTTTTCATTCTCAAGCGACTTTCCCAACTTCGCCGTTTCATACGCATCTCATACGTCAGCAAGTGCGGTCGTGTTCTGTTAAAGTGCGTCTTAATTAATAAAATTATTAAAGAAATAAACAAAGCTATAATTTATTAATAAAGTAAATACTTTGTGATAAAAATAAAAACTAAAATCATGAATTTCGTGACGAAAAATGTACTCAAAAAGTCATATGAAAGAGCTGAAAAGAATGGCCAGTCAGGGTGCTCCGCTGGCCGAAGCAGCGCAGTCTCCGCTGAAGCTAAAATAACTTGATTGTGTTAGTGTGCGTTTGTGTGTGTGACATGTCGAAACACCAGCAGCAGCGACAGCGCAGTCAGCGTCAAATTTTCTCTACATGGAACTGCAGTTTACGAATGCAATTTGAGTGTACAAAGAAAACGAGTCTTTGTTCGTTTGAAAAGCGGCAAATGAAGGGTGTGTACATATATACATACATACATATACAAATGTATATTCATTCTTACAGGCATCCATGTGTGTGCTTATATCTTGTATGAGTATTTATAGACTCCATTTTGGTGTTTATCTTCTGTTTGCTTTGCCTTTAGTTTATCTCTCCTCCATGTAAATATGTACATACATATGTATGTGACTAATGGCCTCATTTTTTCTTGTACTTTCAGCTGTGGCTCGTTCATACCTTCTGGTGTGTGTGGCTTGCAAATGGCGTTGAATGAATTGGGGAATTGTGGTAAGCGAACTTTAACCCTTAATTAGGTCATGCAAGTTGTATTGGACAGTTGATTAATTATTATTGAGAGAAAATCAATACAGTTATAAGAGAAGTTCTTAAACAAAGCGAGTCGCGCTTTACATACAAAAAATAAAAATTACTTTATTTCATTTGTATAAATATATTTTTAGTATGTTGAACTGCTTTTGTATATAACCAAGAAAATATTTAACACATTTAAATACATTGGCCAGACCCAGACTTCATCGCGAACCTTAGTCAATTTTCAAAGCATTCGCACTTTTATGCAACTTGCTGTTAAATGTCTTTATTAGATAATATAATGTTTGCATTCCAATTGTTCAGATTACACTAATATTTACTTAATAATTGTGCACAACTTTAACACTATTATCCAGCAAGATAACGGAATATAAAATTAAATATTGAATTAAATTGTCTCTGAAATATTCCAAGTGGAAACACTCATTTACAATTCAAATGTGTGCTTTACCAACTACATTCCTTGACGTAAGAATTTATTTGAATAACATGGATATAATGCAATGCAATATACAGTACATAAATACATATGCAAATAAGTACAAAACATACGATCTTGAGTACAACAACTAACAATATGACACATATTGAACGTTCAAGATTAACTTTTCTTACACAACTTATCACACAGATTAAAAATATATTTAACTTGTCGCCAGAGACCTTAGAATTGACCCGAAGTGCTCAATAAAATATTATCAATAATTTCCAATTATTATTATTTTTTGTACTGTCAGTTTTGCTATCAGTAAACACAAAGCATATCAAATAGAGTAAATATGAAAACCATTTGCTTACAGTTCAATAAACTCGTGCAAGAGTTGATAGCCAGACAAGAGCGATGACAGCTGACGAGGGCTGACCCGAAAGTTCAGTGAGCTGTGCCTGGCAGGATTTGGTATTTATGACTACTATTCTACTTGCTACAAAGCATCGCTAACGACCCACCAACCCACCACACATACTAAGTATATTGCAGGCAGCGTAAAAGCGTGTATCATGAATATATATATCTCTATATATACATAATATATATATGTATATGCTTCATATATAGCTTGTAAGTGTCTTTGCAGAACCACAATCACCAACCAAAACCAAACCAAACTACAACAAATCAACGCAGCGCTAATAATCAATTTCTCTATTTCATATACCCATCTATTTATATATATTTATAATGAGTGAAACCCATATAGAAATACGTATTTACTCATGTAGAAACATTTACAGCGCCCAAATATCAAACTGCATACGCCTGCGAAGGTAAGCAACTGACCATCGAATGCGAACCGGGTGACCTAATCAACCTGATACGAGCCAACTACGGCCGCTTCTCGATCACCATATGCAATGATCATGGCAACGTTGAGTGGAGCGTCAATTGTATGTTTCCCAAAAGTCTCACCGTGCTGAACTCAAAGTAAGCAGAATAAACAATTACAATAGTTATAAGCTTATTTAAGACATGAAGATAGTTTTACAGTTTATATAATATTGTTTTATATTGTAGATGTAGTCCCATAATTAACATATTTTTCTTTAGCTATACTTATTCAAACTATTTAATATTCATTGCATATAATTTATTCAAGGGTTAATTTAATATGCCTACCTTGATTACATAGTAAATTATTCATTATATGCATACCTAAATAAATCCTTTTGCTTCACAGATGCTCGCACAAGCAGAGCTGCAGTGTTCTGGCAGCCACCAGCATGTTCGGTGACCCCTGTCCTGGCACACACAAATATTTGGAGGCGCATTATCAATGCATTTCGGCGGCACAGACGTCGACGACCACAAATAGGCCAAGTCCCCCACCGTGGGTGCTTAGCAACGGACCGCCCATCTTTGGCAATGGTAGCGGTCTGATACAAGTACCGCCACCCCTACCACCGCGTCTGCCCAGCCTGCCTGGCGTTGTGGGCATTCATGGCATCAATGCAGTGCAGCCCACACATTCGACGCCCAGCAGCAGCACAGCTGCGCTGCCTGGAGGCCGACTCAAGGGCGTTACTAGCGCAACTACCAAGCATCCAGGTGGTCGGCACGATGGCCTGCCGCCCCCACCTCAATTGCATCATCATCACCATCACACGGACGAGACCGTACCCACCAAACCTAGCAGCAGTAGCAGCAGCAACAGCGGCAGCGCTGGCAATGTTACATCTCCATCCAATACGCGGATATTGACGGGCGTCGGTGGTGCTGGCAGCGATGATGGCACGTTGCTCACAACCAAGAGTTCTCCGAATCGCACTCCAGGCACAACTGCCAGTGCGGCCAACAACAGCGTTAACATCGGTGGTGCTGGTACTGGCAGTGTGGTGCGCACCATAAACAACATCAATTTGAATGCGGCTGGCATGGGCACAGATGATGAGTCCAAATTGTTTTGCGGTGCCATGCATGCGCGCAATCTGTTCTGGAACATGACGCGCGTGGGCGACGTTAATGTCCAGCCGTGTCCAGGCGGTGCTGCTGGCATTGCCAAGTGGCGTTGTGTCCTGATGAAACGTTTGCCCGACTCGGGCGACGATGAATACGACGATGATTTGCCAGCTGCCAGCAGCACAACACCCCAACCGTCCAACAACGGAGGCGATTGCGTGCACAACAGCAGCAGCTGCGAGCCGCCAGTTAGCATGGCACATAAGGTCAACCAACGCCTTCGCAACTTTGAGCCCACGTGGCATCCACTCACCCCAGACTTGACACAATGCCGGAGTCTTTGGCTAAACAGCCTCGAGATGCGTGTTAACCAACGCGATTCGTCTTTGACGTCGATCGCCAACGACCTATCGGAGGTGACCAGCAGCAAGACGCTCTATGGCGGCGACATGCTCGTCACCACCAAGATCATACAAACCATGTCTGAGAAGATGCTGCACGATAAGGAAACCTTTCCCGATCAGCGACAGCGCGAAGCTATCATTATGGAGTTGCTGCATGGCGTTGTCAAAACGGGCTCCAATTTACTAGACGAATCGCAACTGTCCTCTTGGCTAGATCTCAATCCGGAGGATCAGATGCGAGTGGCCACCTCTCTGCTAACTGGTCTTGAGTACAATGCCTTTCTGCTGGCCGATACGATCATCAGGGAGCGCAACGTCGTACAGAAGGTCAAGAATATATGTAAGTGCCGGAATCTTATATGTATTTAATGCAGACAAAAATATAATTATAAACCTGTACTTCTAGTGCTCTCTGTTCGCGTATTGGAAACAAAAACAATTCACGGCAGTGTCGTATTTCCCGACTCTGATCAATGGCCGCTTAGCTCCGATCGCATTGAGTTGCCACGCACAGCTCTCCTCGAGAATAGCGAAGGTGGTTTGGTGCGCATTGTATTCGCAGCGTTTGATCGACTCGAATCCATACTAAAGCCCAGCTACGATCATTTCGATTTAAAAAGTGCACGTAGCTATGGTAAGTTATCTACAATATGCTTGTGGGCAAATTTTTAATAATCATATTATACCTTATCTATCTGCAGTGCGAAATACAGCTATTTTATCGAATGACAGTGATGCAGCTACTGGAGACATGCAGCAACGCATTCGCATACTCAACAGCAAGGTGATCTCGGCCAGCTTGGGCAAGGGCCGACATATACAACTCTCGCAGCCGATCACACTAGTGCTAAAGCACTTGAAAACCGAGAATGTCAGCAATCCCACCTGTGTCTTTTGGAACTATATTGACCAGTAAATACAAACGAAAGCTGACTGTTTATAGGCATTTGATATAAACAATAATTTCTATTTACAGTGCCTGGTCGGCCAATGGCTGCAGTCTCGAGTCGACGAATCGCACGCACAGCGTCTGCAGCTGCAATCATTTGACAAATTTTGCCATACTTATGGATGTTGTCGATGAGCATCAGCACTCGCTGTTCACCATGTTCGATGGCAATATGCGTATATTTATCTATATTAGCGTTGCGATTTGCGTGGTTTTCATCATCATTGCGCTGCTCACGCTGAAGCTCTTCAATGGCGTCTTCGTTAAGGTAAGAAACGCAAATTCTACGCAATTGCCGCATCAGCGGGTGGGCAGCAGCAGGCGACAGCAGAATAATATACGCGATCAGACCCACGAATCATTGACACTCACAACGCCAACTGGCCCGAACAATAATCACAACAACAACAACAATATGCAACAGCACACAAATTTCATACAGCATAACTCCATACGCAATTCGCATCGTAACAATTTAAATTACAATCATCAGCAACAACAACAACACCAGCAGCAGCAGCAACAACAACAGCAACAGGTGGTTGCTGCTGCCGCTGCTGCTGTGGTGCTCTCCCATGGTCATAATAATCACAACATAAATCAATCGCAACGCGGCATGCAAATGAACAATCTGAATTTGAATTTACATCCACATGGCGGCCAATCGGCTGGTGCATCGAACACAACTACAACAGCTGCTGCTGCTGCGGCAGCGGCATCAATTGCTGCTGCCTTGCAGCAACATGCGGCCCATGTGGGTGCAGCTGCTGCCAATGCTGCTGTCAGCAACAATTTAAATATTAGCCACAATTATCTGCATGCACGACAACAGACACAGCAGCAGCAACAGCAACAGCAGCAGCAGCAGCAACGACTACAACAACAGCAGCAGCAACCGCATGCAACACAGCACTCGCAGCATAATCATAATCTGAACGTAGATGGCAGCAACGCGCTGGACACGAACAACATCATAATGCAGGCTAATATGGATGACTTGCAATATAAGTGGTGGTGGTGGTGAAAACAATAAGAGCATTGCACAATTGTAGGCTAGGCTAGGCTACATATCTATATAAACAAAATACATATAGCTAGACAGATATAAAAACAATATATACATATTGTCTAACGGCTAGACAGTTCGATATATATAATTGCAGCGAAGCCTTTGGGCAACATGCACATGTGATATAAAGCTTAAGTAACTTAATTTGTATTTGTTAACAGAACTAACACAATTCTTAACAGAAGACTTTAGTGCCAGGCTTGGGCGTTGAGAAGAAGTACAAACAATTAATAATTGCATAATTGTTTATTTATTTCTTTATTAAATAAACTTTTATATAACAAATGTAAGCCACGCCCTAGCCTTGTACCTCCATAGAATATTCTCATTAGTTATTGTAGTTGAAATAAGTTTAGCGCATTTTCTTAACTAGTTATTACTAGTGAAATATTCATTTTTGGCATGCTATGAAATCTGTTGTGAGTACTCTCACAATTGAACATTAACAAATTGATTAATTTATGTGAATTTCCTTGTTTAACAAATTAACTTAAAAAACCAGTTAATATTTATGCATTTAGTTCTTTTGTCATTTTCGTAATTCTCTTTGTGTGTGTAATTAATAATAAAAATGTTTCTCATTTTGCATTGTAAATATTTGTATTTTGTGTTTATTCCTTTAGTAGAAAATTTGTAATATTATTTTGTATACATATATATATGTTTGCTTGTTTCGTGTCTTGTTTCATATTCATGTTTTGTTTTATGCGCTAAATGTTGTAACTGTCTCATAGAATGTTTTATTAATTTATTTTCGGAAATTTTCACCACCAAAAAAACCACCCAAAATTATTGTAAATTAAATTAAGTTGAGATGCAAAGTCAAATTTCAAATCAAATCCAGCCAGACTGAGTTTAAGGAATCGAAATACCATTTGTGACGATTATATATCAAATTCCTTTCGTTCTCGGGCAATCTTCGATCTTTTCTTAACTCCCACTTTCATTCGCTCACACTCGCTCTACCTCTCTTTCTTTCTTTCTGCAGTCTGCTCGCACCTCGATCTATAGCAGCATTTACATTTGCCTGCTGGCCATTGAGCTGCTCTTTCTGCTGGGAATTGAACAGACCGAAACAAGCATATTTTGTGGGTTCATAACCGTCTTTCTGCACTGTGCCATACTCTCGGGCACCGCCTGGTTTTGCTATGAAGGTAAGCGCTAATAGGTCTTATTAGGTAGCGCCCACATCTAACATTTCAAACTTACGAGCAGCCTTCCATTCGTACTCCACGCTCACCTCCGATGAGCTGCTGCTGGAAGTGGATCAAACGCCAAAGGTGAACTGCTATTATCTGTTGTCCTACGGCCTCTCACTCAGTGTGGTGGCCATTTCGCTGGTAATCGATCCCAGTACATATACGCAAAACGATTACTGTGTCCTCATGGAAGCCAATGCGCTCTTTTATTCCACCTTTGTGGCGCCCGTCTTGATATTCTTTGTGGTAGGTTCGAGTACTAAGCATTCAATAGTGCATTGCCTAATACCTAACTCTCTGAACAGGCGGCTATTACCTATACCTTTTTGTCGTGGATCATCATGCGTCGCAAGAGTCGAACTGCCCTGAAGACCAAGGAGCACACGCGATTAGCCAATGTGCGGTATGTTGCACCCTCTATACGATCTATACTCATTTGCACATTCCTTATTCAAATTCATTTGTATTTGGGTGTTTAGGTTCGACATACGCTGCTCGTTTGTCTTTCTATTGCTGCTTAGCGTCGTTTGGTGCTGTGCCTACTTCTACTTGCGTGGCGCAAAGCTAGACGAGGACGGCGCTCCTATCTACGGCTACTGCTTCATCTGTTTCAACACACTGCTAGGCATCTATATATTCGTATTCCATTGCATACAGAACGAGAAAATTCGACGAGAATATCGCAAATACGTGCGCCAACATGCCTGGCTGCCGAAATGCCTGCGTTGCTCGAAGACATCCATCTCCTCGGGTGTGGTGGCTGGTAATGGCGGCCCAGGAGTCGGAAATACTGCCAATCAGTCTGCCGGCACACTCTCCAAATCAAAGTCGAAATTGCCGCTGGGCGCGGGCGACGAAGCTCGCGATGGGGATGCACAGCAGCAGCAACACGATCTGCCAGCTGCCGAGGATGCCATCATTATGGGCGCTGGCTCTGACTGTGAGCTAAACGAAGCGCAGCAGCGTCGCACACTCAAGAGCGGACTCTTAACGGGCAGCTTGCAGCCAGCTCCAGTTGGAGCGGTTGTGCTCGAGCGGAACACGTTGCGTTCCACTGGAATGGCTAGCGTGGGGCATGCATCGCCAACCAGCTCAGCTGGTTCCACGCACTTGATCTTTGCACACAAGCAACAACAGCAGCAGCAGCAGCAGTTGCAGCAACCGGGCGAAACGTACTATCATCAGCCAGACTACTACAGCTGGAAACATCCGCCGGGAGGTCAACGTGAATACTATAACAATGCTGGCGGTGCAGTTGGAGCAGCTGTGGGTGGAGTAGGAGGCGCCTCGCCGCAGCAAGCGCATGAGGTATTTTATTGGACACAGAAACATAACAACCAGCACGGCAAGAAAAAGCGCGGAGGCGGGGCCGGAGCTGTGCCCGCCTCTCCTAGCGGATCTCTTCACAGTCGTGCCACGGCCACCTCGCAGGTTTTGTTTTACCCATCGTATAAGAAGACCACCGGCATGAAACAGGGTCCGCCACCACAACAAGCGTATCCACACTATGCTGAGGCCCTGGACCCACCCAATGCAGCTTACTACCAGCAGCAGCTACAGCAACAACAGTTGCGCCAGCAACGCCAACAGCAGCAACAACAGCTATCCTCGGATGAGGAGCAGGCGGAACAGCATGCACACCTATTGCACTTGCAGCACCAGCAGAGACGTGTGGGTGGACAGCAATTGCCAGCGCCGCCGCCGCACATGGCGCAGTACCAACAGGAGTTGTTAGCACAACAACAACGCCAACAGTATAGAAATAAGCATTCCAACTGTGATCTTAGCCAGGGCATGGGCTTAGGAATAAACATGGGCATGGGCCATGGCGATGCCTATTACAATCAAGGCGGCAGCAGCAATGGCGGCGGCGATGCTGGTGGGCCTGTCTACGAGGAGATTCTGAGTAACCGAAACTCGGATGTGCAGCACTATGAAGTGGGCGACTTTGATGTGGATGAAGTGTATAACAACAGCGTTGGCACGGGGGTCTTCAACAATATGCGCGCCGCAGTAGCTGCCGGAGGAAGTCGCTATGGTGGTGGCAGTCTAAGCGGAGGCAGTGTTACCTCCAGAAGTCAACAGCAGCAGCAGCAGCAACTGAAGCAGAAGCAGCCGCCACGACGTTGTGCAGCGGATGATGATGATGACGATGACGATGATGATGATGAGTATGATGACGAGGTGACAGCAGCGGAACAGCTGCACGACAGCGTCTGTGATGATGAGGATAATGAGAGCGATATTGATGATGATACGCACGGATTGCCACCTCAAAGTGATGAGCGAATGCGTCGCCTAATGGCGCTCCAAGACGAGGATTTTAAACGGCGGTTTCAGTAAGTAACTCGAACGACTGATTCAATGGACAAATAAATTAAACTTGAGTATTATTTGCAGACGCCAGCAGAGAAAGAATGGTATGCCCCTTGATTATGGAGCATCGGTCCAATCTGCAGCAGCAGCCCACCCAGACCACAATGGCGCGGTTTTTGGGGTTAGCGGCGGCGTTGGTGAGGGCTCCATGCGTGGCGCATACCGGCAGCAACAGACTGCCAAGTCGCCGAACGCACGCTTGGCGGTAAATGAGCTGTTTGGCCATGGTAATGCAGGACCGCCGCTGCCACCGGCCAATCAGACGCCAGCACAGAAGCGTCAGCAGTTACAAAAACTATCACCACAGTCCACAACATCATCGTCGTCGCACACATCGCACAGCAATCCCCAGCATGCTCCTGCACACCATCTCCAACACCATCACACTCAACAACAACAGCAGCAGCAGCAACAGGCTCGTCACCTATCAGCCATGTTGGATGAGAATAATACCGTGCGCTGCTATCTGGAACCGTTGGCTAAGTAAGCAGAGTAGCAAGGAATAGTAGCCAATAGCATCAGCAGCAGCAGCAGCAGCAGCCCTCCACACCTTGCATGGCAGGCAGCAGCCGATCGTTGTCTTAGGCAAAAATTGTAGCTTAGGTTTAGCTATACCTCTAGTATTAGTCATTAGTCGAAATATGGAGCATTGTGTGAAACAACATGCTGTCATGTCATGCTATACGTGCAGTGATTCGAGAATCCCAAAACTTTATATGTATATGTAACTCAATTAGACCATAGGCTAAACAACCAAGCAACCAACCAACAAACCAAGCAACCAATGCGGAGCAAAACAAATGCAATATGCTAATGAAATGGATATTGTCGATGCTCACAATTTATACCAACTCGATATATAAATGTATGTACTGTATGTATATGTATAATGTAATATGTAATGTATAACGTATGTGAAGCGCATACAGGTCACCCACATGCCATTTTTAAGTAGGATACCAATAGCATTACACCATATGTGTATATGTGTGTAAGATCTGAGAACTGTATGTAAATGATATTTAGGGCGAGCATATTATATATTTTATGTAATTTATAAGGCATATATATTGTTTATTTGATTTTTTGCTAATTAATATTTTTTAAGAAAACTTTTGTTTGTTTTGGCAATATTTTTTATTCAGACACAGACTGTGTTTTTATTGCTGAAGATTTGTTTTCAAATTTATGGCAACAAAAACGTGTATTTGGCTTTCATTGAACGTGCTGTAAATTAAGCTTAGGTGCACGAAAACTCGTTTCAAACGCTGAAATGTAAACAATTCTTTTGCAGATTTGAAAATGATTTAACTTATTCAATTTTTTGCCATTTGTTATTGCATTTCTTTTGAACTTACTTTAAGGGAACCAGCAAAGCATTTCAAGTGTAAATTTTCATCAATATGCTTAAAGCACAATTATAGGGCATTTATTTTTTACAACTGTTCATTTCTGTCAATGAAATTATTAGAGCGCTTTACTATGCGAACGAGACTAGAAAAAAAGTCAAATGTCTTTAGAATTAGCAATGCAAGAAAGGAAAACCGAAACAGTAAAACAAATATACCTACTTATCTAGTAAAGAAAGATTTCAACCAAACCTCACTTGTTAACTAGGAACTAACTGTAAAACTCTAAACTAGCTAACACAAAACTGAACTATAAAAGAGACACCTCTGTTTCCCGATATACATATATATATATATATATATATATATATATATATATATATATATATACAATTAAATATATATATGGCTCTAGATAATTTCCACGCATGTGTACAAAAAACCAAATAAAGACAAAAGCAAAGTGCAAAAAAAGAAACATAATATTACTCTAAATATTACTATTAAATATATACTGCCTGCACAGCTCTCTCCTCAACCCAGCAAGAATAAAAATTACCATTAAATATAATAAATCAAGCCTAATTCAAAGCCATTTAGAAAACAGCAAAATAAGAAAAGATAACTTATAATGAGCACAAATACACTCACTCACACACACAGAAAAATTACTTCTAAGGCACGAGATGCTTCTAAATTTTATAAAGATAAAAAAAAAATTGAAATGAAATCACATAAGTTTACTACAGCATTAAATTTAAATAGGTGTAATGGAATGCAGTTTAGGGCAAAGCAGCAGCTGGTTTAAGTTAAATCAAGAGAAACTAAATAAAAATATATATTAAAAACAAAAGAAACGAAAGAAAAACAGAAATATTGAATGTATAGTGTTGCGCCTCCTAGTACTTTAAATATATAATTGATCAAGAATATATTTATATATATATATCTGATATAAGTATATATGTAAATGGATATTTATGATTATAATGCAAAGCAAATGCCGATATCTATATAATACTTCTTTTTGTCTCTACATGTTTACTTTTGGATGGAAATGTAACAATTACAGCAAATAGCAAAGATGAAATGAACTCAAACTGTATGGAATAAAAATGTTAATGTACACAATTTTTCTAATTAAGACAAATAAAGAAGGAAATTAAATGCATTTGAAATTGTTTAATTCTGCTTGGAAATTATAAATTCAAATTGTAAGCGATAATTGTATCGATAATCGTTGTGGTAAGGATTTAGTGAACGATTAATCGATAGTTTAGCTTGAACATCTGTTTTTTGTGCATCGCACATGACGTCAATTTTAACAAAACAATGGCCGAGTTCCAATGGCCGTGGGAGTACACATTCCCTCCTTTCTTCACGTAAGTAATAATAAAAAATTATTATAGTTCATTTACTCACTAATATATTATAGTTTGCAACCGCATGAAGAAACACGCCGGCAACAGCTAAAGGTGTGGACAGATCTCTTTCTGAAATACCTCAAACATGTAAATAGGTTTACAATTGGTATAAACGATCAAAACTTGCCATTATTTTGTAATGAATCTATAAATCGACGGTTGTCGCCTGAGCTAATACTGCTCATACTGGAGCAGTTGCAACAAAGCGGACATGCTGCCCCACTGGACAAACGACGCCAGGAATGGCAAGTGTATTCGTACACATTGGAAGAATACGGCAATATGGTCTATGATTGGATACAAGAGACTGGACAAACAAATAGTATTTGTACTCTCTACGAGCTAGTCTCCGGCGAAAATAGCACTCAGACGGAGTTTCATAATATGGACGAAGCCGTATTGCTAAACGCTTTGCGGCTGCTCGAAGAGAAGGGAAAATGTGAACTTATTGAAATGGACGGAAGTCATGGAGTTAAATTTTTCTGAAAAATATATTTATAATTGTGTTTTATGTATGCATAGCTTTAAGTACAGCCTCATAATCTTTGTTTTGCAATGTTCCTTTGTGCTGAACACAAAACATATAATTTACGACAGTTGAAGAATAAATAAAATCAGCTGTTTATGTTCACAGTTAATATATGTAAACAATATAGTTAATCAAGCAACAGCTGCATTTAAAAATGTAATCTAATCAATTGATTTTAGCTATTTTTAATGTTAAATTAAACTTCAATGCTATAAAATTTATATCAAATTAAAAATTTAATTGTGAATCATAAAGGTGATTTAAAACTCTAATTGAACTGCTTGCGTTCGTTTGGCAATGGGGTTCAATAGAACTAGCTCATAATTGAGCAAGTCGGTTCTTTGCGCTGTTTTGTTTTTTTATTTTTATCGTCCGGCGTCACACCGCCATCTATATTTTGTTAAATATTTGTACAGTTGTAAATGAATTAAAATGGTTAGAAATATTAATTAAAATAATCTATTTCAGAGCGTGGAGGACTTGGTGCGAGACAATACGCGTCTCATGAATGTTCATACGGTACTTCAGCACGCGGCTATGGCGTCTTTGACTTGCACGGGACCTCGCACAATTGGTCCGGATCAGAAACCAATGCGTGCGGAAAAACCGCCCAGTCAGCAAATCGAGCAATCAGGACTCGTCGAACCAGTCGACAGCGCCCTCTCCCAATTATCAATTACCATGCCAACAAAACGGATATCGTCCGTGGATATTTTGCCAAGCATTGGGCCCGACCTAAACGACATAAATGCCAGCATTGTCAAGCGGGAGATAGAGAAGGAATGTAAGCGCAGTGTGCGCCACCAATTGGATCTGATTAAGGAACGGCAACAAAAGGCGATCAGTGAACGCCTTGCCAGCCAGCGTAACACAGAGCTGCAGAAGCAGCGGCATATCAATAGCCGCACAAGGCGGGAAGAGAGCGATAAACTCATAGAAAAACAGGCCGAGCAGCTGGCCAAAGTAGAGCTGGAGGCGCATCAGCGCGAGCAGAAGGCGCTGCTCAAGCAGAATAACCAAAAATTGCATCTACTAATAGTCGAGGGTGTTTCGCGTTGCCATAGGCGATTCTGTAGCAAGTACGAGTTGGTGACAAAGCTGTTCCTGGCCCTGGACAAGGAGACCGTGCAGGCGTGTGCCGCACAAAATAGCGAATTGCGGGAGCTGGCGCAACTGTTCGATCAGCTAGTTGAGAAGCTAAAAAAGGGCGGCAGCGATCCGCCAGAATTGAGCTGTGTGTTCACAGCGGAGCAGTACTGCCAGCGCCTGGATAAGCTGGAAGAAAATCTACACAAACAGCTGTCGGAACAACACCAGCAGCAACTGGACAAGGCCAAAAAGTTGGCGGAAGAGCAAGAGAAGCAGCGTCAAGCAGAAGCAGAGGAGCAACAGAAGCAGCAAGCACTGAAAGAGCAGCAACTGGCAGCTGAGCGCAAAGCGACAGCTGAAGCTGCTGCAACTGCAGCCCAGGCGGCACCCAATACAGAGGCTCCAGCCACATCAGCACCAGCCCAGGCCCCAGCCCCAGCTACAGCTACAGCCCCAACCCAAGCCAGCATCTCCACCAGCTACGTGCATCCAACACGTTTGGCTTTCTACAACGAGATCATTGCATTGTATCAGAGCAAAGTGGATGCCGTCAAACCACTTCAAACGGACGAGACATGGAAGAAGTATCGCACCAATTGCCAGCGAACCATCAACTTGCCATTGAACGCGATTACAGCCACGAGTGCACAGCATCTGAAGAACAACTTTGATAAGCTATACAATTTCTTTGCGGGCCAGCCGGTGAGGACAACGGATGGCAGTACGATTACCATAAACGATCATCCATTGGCTAGGGATTACTGCATCCTGCTAATGGCCAAAAAGTTTGTTAGCCAAACTGACACCGCCATATCCAGCAATCCACAGGCCGCTTTCCCATTTGCCTCCGTGATTGTCACCTTTTGGAAGCTGCTGCCCGACTTTGGGAAGATCTTCTTGGCCTACATGTACAAGGAGTCGCCATATCTGGTGCCTTACGTGATTCCCCAGCAGCCCGATCAAACGCCCGAGCAGTATTTAAAGACAATGGGCTATCGCATCACCGAGAACAATCAACTGGAGAAGCCGGATATGTTCCTCAAGCGTCAAACGGGCATTGCTCGGCTTTATGCGGCGGTCATCATCACGCCTGGCCGCCAAGCCGATGGACCCTACAATTGCTTTGGCCTGGAGGAGGCTTGGGGCTGGCTCACCCATATCATGCAGTTGAAGCCCTTGCCGGACATATGCGCCACCATGATCATGGAGATGCTGCAGACACTTGGCTTCGAGCTTTGGCATGCCTACGGCATGAACTTCGTCAAGCTCCTGCTCTACATACAGAATATATATATGCCGCAGCTGTCGGCCTACGATGAGGGCGGTCCGAAGACACGCCTAGAAATGCTGCTATCGAAATTTTTACGTGAGCGTCAAATACCTCAGGCGATGGGCGTGCTGCCGCCAGGCTTCTGGTGACTTCTCTCTATATATATTTTATGATATATATAAATATAATTAAATAGTTCATAAGATTTAAATTACTTGTTATTATAAAGTTCGTTAAGATGTATTTTTATAAGACGAGTGTATGCGCCCTTTCTTTGTTAAATAAAGTCAAGTACAACACAATCTCTTCTCTTTCTCTTAAGCATTACACCGAATAGAAAGCATTGAAATTTCATTCTCGAATTATATATAAAACATAATCCTTAATCATTTGACTGTCTAAATTTGTTTGCAGAATGGTTCGAGGTGACTCGGAGCCCAAAAAGAGGCCGACAAAATGTTGTGGGAAAACCCATATGCTGCTCAATACGCTCTGCAAGGATAAAGCTTTTCTGATGTTCCTGACGCACTTTCGCAGAAATGAGAAAGTGAAGGAATACAATATGACCAAATCACAATGCTTGACCATCGCCGCCAAAGTCTGGAATCGTATGTCGGACGTGGAGAAGTTGCCCTATATACACGAGGCGCGCAACTTTAAATATGTCTTCAAGTCGAACAACAATTGCCTGAATTGGGCCGTCAAACAAGTGCGACAAATACTCGTGGCCGATGGACAGCTGTATTTGCAACGCCTCTGGCAGCTGGCCTCCAAGCTGACAGCCTGGAATGATCGTGTGATTGACAATATTCCAGCACTGGATGGAAAGAAGCAATAATTAACATCTGTGATCAATATGTGATTGTTTAACATGTGGTTTTTGGCTTAACTGTACAATTGAAATAATAAAGTATTTAATAAGGGAGTACTTCTAGTTTCGACACTTTTAAAACTTTCAGCAATGGCACACAAATGTTGCAATGTGGCACGACAACATTTGTGCAACACGTGAAGTCACAATTTTATTGATCAAAAGTTGCTAAAGGCAGAACTCAGTATATGCAATTCAATATCAAACTATAACAATGCCCTGCTATCGCCGCATTCGACGTCTAGTCCTCCTCGTCGTCATCATCAAGATCATCCAGCTCACCCGCCAAATCTAAATCCGCGAACAAATCTTTGTTAATGGCGGGCTCAGTGTCAGCGTTGGATACGGAGGCCGCTGCATCTTCGGCAGCGGCAGTCTTGGCTGCTTCTGTTGCTTGATCCAGTAATCGCGTATTGGATGCAATCGTACCAGAGCCATCCACCTCTTTAGCTGCCAGTGAAAGTGCTGCCAAATCGAGCTCCTTGAATTCAACGGTATTGTCGTCATCATCGTCGTCCCGTTTATAGATATCGAATGCAGCATCGCCCTCCTCCATGGGGCCATCGTCGACCAGATCGGGATTGAAGCTGAACATTTCGCGACCAGAGATGCCAAACTGTTTGCCCTTGCTGAAGTCGCTCTTTTTGCGCTCCTCGTCGGCTTCCAGTTTTGCCTTTTTCTCCTGTATCTTGCGCTTCTTCCATGCCAGAAATGATTCTAACGTCACCCGCGTCTGATTCGGTCCCAAGGCGGCACGCTCCTTCTCAATGAGATCGACCAGCGAGATCTCTGTTTGCTTCTCCTCCTTTTTCTTATCTCGCTTGAGTACATAGCCAGGCGGCAACGCATGCCGATAGATGCACTTTTCACCATTGGGGCACTCCCAGAACCAGCCATACTTGGACTTTTCCACAGCTTCCAAAAAGTATTTGCAAATCTAATAAAAAAACTCAAGTTAAATGAATATCAACATTGCAATTCCTGATATTCTCACAATATCCGTGGTCGGTCGTCGCTTTTCACCCGAATGCTTCTTGTCGATAACTTCTTTTAGCTTTGCATCGTCCCAGTTGGTCATCGGATCATCTTCGTTATCGCGCATATCGACATAGACCGAACGTTTCTCCACCTTGTTCTCCAGGGACAAATCGTGCGAGAACTTACACTTGTCACCCTTGGTGCAGGTGCCCTGCTTGAAGAAGGCACACACCACAGATTTCGGATCGGTACCCTTTTCCACCTTTTGCGTTTGCACCGGCTTGAAGATCATTGCCAACTCCCTCTGCTCCGCCAACTTCTTTTCTTTGTCCTCCTTTTTCTTATCGCCATCCTGTCGTGGATGATGACCGCCGGCCTGCACTTGTTTCTGTACTTGCTGAATGAACTTCTGTTGCTTGGTTCCCTTCTTGTTTTTCAGTCCAAAGGTTTTATCCTGTCAAAATGTATGAATTTAGTGAAAATGTTGACGTTGTATCGAACGGCTGTCGTCCGTCGTGGGCTTTTCATAGAGGTTATGTTCGATATTGCGATGGGGCAGACGTGCAATATTTGGTTTACCTCTATGACCTTCTCCTTTTTCTTTTGCTCCGTTTTTTTACTCGGACCGGGCGCCTTTTTTGGTGGCATCTTCGCGCAACAACAAATTTAATAAGCTGAATATAAGATCCGAGATGCGGAAAGTTATTTCTTATAAATTATAGCTAAACGGGCTGACACAGGAGCCACATAAAAACAGCAACGCCGTCAAACGAGCTCTGAAATACTGAATTATCGAAATATCGTTTACTATCGATACATACAGGGTGAGCTACACAAAATAATTGTTTTCATTATATTTGTAAGCATCTGGTAGCGCTGCAAATACAAAAGTAACTGAAAATTTGTTCAACATACATATTCCTAAATCCGCAAAATTATTCCAACTCTTTCACTTGCCAGTCCGACCGTTGAGGATTACATATAGATGCTTGCTTTGTATGCACACATGTTAGGGCACACATGTTTGTTTTTATTTTTATTTATTTATTATGGTTGTCATTGGTCGCTTTTTATTATTTTGAAATTTGTGTATGCCCACTTCAGCGCACATGTTCAAGTTGTACATATTTCAATTATCTTCTCAGCATATCTTGCTCTACCCTTCATAGCCAATACTGAATTTGTTTTCAAAGGTCTTTTCACTACACACACTACATACACGCACACATGTGCCTGAGCATCGTGGGTGGTCTTTTATTCGTTGCTTCGCCTTGGGTGGTCCAACTCTTGGCAGTGTGTGGCTCTATATAGCTCGCTCTCGTTCGCTCTCCCTCTGCTCGCGATTGCTGTTTGACGCTGGCTCTGCCAATGTGTGTGCGCGCTCGTGTGTATGTGTGAGTGTGTGTGCCCCCATTGATCATTTTCTCGTTTAATAGTGCGTGACGTTTTCATAATGCTATTTCGCTCGCACTAATTTATGCCGCTGCTGCTGCTGCGCTGCTGCCGCTTTTGGGTGCGCATTTTGATCCTTTTGAGTTTTTTATTCGAGCATAAAATTAGCAATTATTTGTTGTTTTTTCTCGTTTTTTATTGGTTTTTTAAGTGTGCGCCGGCTTCTGGGCGCCCAACACGTTGTGTGTGGCCTGAAATAACGAGTTTAGCTTTTATGATTTGCTATTTGGATTACGTTTTATTATTTTTTTCTAGGAAGAATTTTGTGTGTGCAAAAATAAAAGCATTTTATAACTTTTCGTATCATAGTAAAAGGGTTTCTGGGTAAATGCGACTGCGCCATGGGAACTAAAGCAATTTGAATTGTGGCACAACATAGGCAAATTTCACTGTACAGTTCAGCTATAGCTACTATACTAGAGCAAATTAAAATATGCCCGCCAGCGTGCATTCAAAATTATGACAAGCGCAACACAGGCAAATGTTGTTGGCAACACAGGAAAACCGTTTCACATGCAATGTTGCCAACAATTATTTGTGTTGTTGACAGCAAGACAGATAGCAACAGCAACAATTTGCATCAAAGCGAAGACAACAACAGCAACGGCAGCAACAACAACAACAACAACAACAACAACAATAATATTGTTACTGCCGCTGTATAATTTACAGCGTGAAAGATCAAAAAACAAGGCGCAACACAGATGTGCAGCAGCAATAGCCGCAGCAGCTTCAGCAACATGTTGCCAGTGCGCTACCACTGACAGAGCCGTCCCGGCCGACAGTTAGCAGCTTGGGATCTGGGCAACTGGACAGCTTGGCATCTTGGTGGTCCCCGCCGCCAATAACCGCTGTCTGTTTGCAGCTATCTCCAACTGCAGTTGCTCCTGCTGCTGCTGCTGTCAATCTATGGCGAAGGCAAATCTTGCTACTGTTTGTTATTGCTGCTGCACACACACACACACGCACACTGACAGAGAGAGAGAGAGAGGGAGAAAGAGAGCGTGAGAGAGAGAGACAGCTTATAATTGCATATAGCGCCAGTTGCAGTTCCGGTCGGTTGAGTTTTTTTTTCTCCCCTTTGCGCTGTTTGTCGGCTCCTTCTTCTTCTGCTGTTTGCTGTTCTTCTTCTTGTTGTTGTTGTTGTTGCTGTTGCACGCGCTTTCTTTTTTTGCGGCGCCGCCACCACAGACAAGCGCTCAACGGCCTCTGTCTCTGCCCCTATGTGTGTGTCTGTGTGTGTGTGTATGAGTGGGATTGGTGAATGGCATGTTGCCACCCAAGTTGCCAACTGTGTCTTGGTTGGCTGGCCAGACTTAATAGCCGCTTTCATTGGCCAAAGCTTGAACATTCAATCAGTCGGACCACACACGGCGCGATGCCGGCGCTGTTTATGCAACATGCTTGACTCTCTACAAACGGTAGCCATTCTTAATTACAACAACAACAACAACAACAACAGCAACAACAACATCAGCAGCAGCAGCAGCAACAGCGGCTACAACAACATCAAAAGCCATTGAGATAAATCGGAAACGGATATCGCTAATGAAACGAATTTCCATATTTATGTGTTAATAAAACCAGCAACAGCCACAACAACAACAACAACAACAACAACAAACAACAACAAGCAACAACATCAAACAGCAACAGCTACAGCAATATCAATAAAGTAGTCGAAAACCACATTTTCTACTTGGGCGGCCAAATCGCGTGCTTTTGATGCGGGCTCACGATGGGAATAGAGAGTATATTAGTTATTATGCAATGCTCATGCATGCATGCTTTAAGATAGAGAATATAATTTTGGATAAAAGTAAAGCCCTAGTGGACACTCGAATACCCTTACAAATAGAGCGACATACAAAATCATATATCTAACTATAAATATGGTATATATCAAACTTTTTGAACGTGTATTAGGCGGTCGTTACCACCAGCCTGCATTTGTTTAACATTGTTTTTAATTTATACAAATAAACAAATGTATATAATTGTTCTGATTGTTAGTGTTGGGCAATTAATTTTACCAAATTTAGTCAGAATTTATACCCTACACGCATTGGGGCATATTGCTACAGTGGCTACTTTTCGGCATTTATAATTATAGGTCTTGGCATATTTCAGCTAGGGTATATAGAGCACGAGAGAAGAGCAAAGGAATAAAACAATACGCTTATACAATACACACACACACATAAACACTCCAAATTTTAATCGCCTAGCTAGTTCTCAAATATTTAAAAAGAATATAAATTTGTTTCTCTATGGGGCTGTGCTTAGATGTGGAGCCCACCAACGTAGCCCGATGGGGCCTCCATCAGCGACGCTATAATAAATGATTGATCGAAGCAGCTGTGTATGTGTGTGTGAGTGTGTGCGTATGTGCATCTCTCTCACTCTCTTTGTCTCTCTTACTCCTGCTCCCTCTCTGCATGTTTGGGGTTTGCTTTGCGGCGTTGGCGGTGCCGTTTGATTGATGCGCTTTTGGTGCTGCGTCTGGGCTGGCGGTTCAGTTTTATACGTTTTTCACGCACTTGGTTGCTGTTGTTGCTTTTGGCATCTTTATGCTTCAACACAACTGTCAAAAGATTTGCCCACAGCAACAACAACAACACCAG